AGATTTCTCATGCAGCTACAGTGGAGAAAGAAAAGTGGACCAAACCAGTAACAGTTTAGCCAACCACAAAATTGAATGTCAAGAACAATACTCCACAATCACTACTGCTTTACAATGGTTAGCTGTGAGAAACTAGGTGAACCATGACATAATCAATGAACATTTTAATCAGTTGGGTCGTCCTGTGTCGGGCTATTTTTGCCAAATTGCAGAGAAGTCTACACAGTGCTAGCAAATTAAACAAGATATTTCAGATGAAGAGCAGTTTTTCTTTTGCAGTGCTGATGACAACTACAGTTTCAAAACTTGAAAAAGGGAAATGTGGATAATTCTCAACAAATTCAGCATCTTCTGTCAACTCTTTACAGACTGTGAACTTTTCATTTCATAAAAACTGTGGATTTAACAGGCTACTTGATCAAGTCAAAGTTGTCAAAGGAGATTATCAATAGATTTTTCTAGACAGAAAAAAAGACCTTACATATTCTCCTTACATAACCTAAGCGGAGAGCAAAACTGGATTTCCTGTCTTTACATTTCCATGAGTCTGTGTATACTTTATCTCGAAGCAACATTGACATGTACAGCATGTGATTCCTTTAGATGAAACATCTGTGCATCAAAATGCGAGTCTCCAGTCTGGAAATCAACAGAAGGTACGATCTGCTTCTTCAAGCACTGAACATTTCTGATCACTGTCTCTCCGTCAAGGGAGACACTCCGGTGTGAACAGACACATCAGCACACATTAGATCAGAGCACTATGACACTGATTAAAGGTTTCACTTCCAGAACTGTCACAGAACAAACTCAGCCTTCTGTCCAGACCATCCGTCTGAGTAAAAGTTTATTGAAAAGACAGGAAAGATGACACTGCCTTCTGGCTAAGCAGCATTAAAATGGAGTTGGAAAGAGAAATGTAAACAGGCATCCAGACAAAGATCTATTATCGAGGTGTAAATGTATTTGAGAATGTGATGGAGGTGATATTGACTAAGACGGAGGGTTTGGAATAATAATTTGTTTCGTACAGTGCACAGTGATTGGACATACCCAGGTGTGCCAAGAAATGTGTTTGATACCAGTCTGAGTAATTCAAGATTGGGAAATTGCAGAAACCAAGTCCTAGATCAGTACTTTATTTAATGACGTGTACAATAAATAAAATAATTGACAAAAACCACAAACATTTTCAGAGAACATGTGTTTCTAAATAAATGTACCATAACGGTGGACGTATTTGAAAATATTCGGTAGAAATCTGTTGCTTTGGGATGTACATGCACCAAACATATGTAGCGCTGTTTTATACTTTTAACACTTGCAGAAGGCCTCCTGTAACGGACTGTGCAATGAAACATTTCTCAACTTTAAAAAGTGAGAAAGAAACAAAGCAGAAAGGACTCCCAGCTATCACTAAACTCCGTTTGGGAAGCAGGAAGCGGACAACAGCGTAAGGCATTCTGGGTAAATACAAGTTAAACGAATGCGTGAGTCTAGCGCTAGCGGGAGAAATGACTGGTGGACTTTTACCAAAGACAAAAGAGAAATCCTAAAACCTGATGCTACTCCATTTTTGTTTACATTTTGTAAAACAGAAAGTTATGGTTAGTGTCTTCTTCAGAGGTTTTTGTGTTTTCCTTCAGTGGTTCTTGGAGTAACCCCACCACAGACCACACCCCACCAGAGAGTGTAAGGAAGTTTCTCAATGCAGTACGTAAGAAAACCTCAATGTAACAAATGTTCCAATTTTGGTCCCCAACCGAACTTAGTCTTCCGGATGCCTAGACGTACCAACTTCACATCATTTTGTATTGTCAATACCAACATACTGTCTACAATTAACTACTGTAGACATTTATAAAAGGAACACCAGTAGGCTAGAAATATGACACTTGGCCTACTTACGAGGTGTGAACATTTTAGACTCTACAAACTTAAGAAATGTAGGATTAAGAAAGCAACTTTTCTATTTACCATTTATTCTCATTTCAAGTGCCAAGTTTCTGGTCTTATCCGTTGCAGTCGTCCAATGCAGACATAAAAGTATTGGACAATTGCAGAGCAGCTGTCATGGTATTCAACATTTTGATTTCCACTTGTCTCCTGCTAAACGCATCCTTAAGTCATCCACAGTGCAGGCATTCCAACATGTTTCAGCCTCTCACCCCGTCAGCTTCGTTTCCGTCAAGCTGGCCTGACAAACACATGCGTGGTGACACACATGAAGTCTCCCCCACGCATTTACAGCCCAGCTTTCCACCCAGGGTTTTACTATCAACGTGACGGCTGGAATGAACATGCATTAAGCTCCCTTCACACCCAATAAGAAACTCGTCTGTCTTCTCTTTCGGCACTGCCAAACCAGACTGAACTAGCATCCTGCTCGCATCTTCTGTTTCCATAACACAAAACCTGCACCTAACCCTTTATTGTTTCCTGAACCTGAAGTAGTTACAGCAAGCATCATAACTAGTGTGTGTGTGTGTGTGTGTGTGTGTGTGTGTAGGTGTTTTTGACATGAACGGCATGTCAAAGACGTCATTGCGCACAGCAGCAACAACATGCCGTCAACTCAATCGATGGTTTTGCTCTCAGCTCCACATTTCACATAAGATATAAAGGATAAAGAATCATGAGGCTTCATCATTTTCATGTTATAAGTGCTTATTATGTTAAAATCAGTGAATAAAAGGCTGCAATCAGACTGTTGTGTGTGTTAAAGATCCAGAAAACAGAATCCATCAGAAGGAAATGCAGCTGATGTTTAATTGAAAGAAAGAATCTGAATAGTTAAGGTCAGAGTCTACATCCATGTGTTGTTCAGTTTTTCTGTGCCTTTTCTTCCCCCCCGCTGCTTGGCATGCTCCCCATGCGCACACCTTCACCTTTTTGTTTGCACTCTGATAAGCTCTAGCTCCTCCAGGGCAGCCGGAGCGATATGCTGAAGAAGGCTGTTCATCTGGGTTGTCAAAGCTTCACCTCAGCTGGCCCAATGAGATCGGGCCATGATGGTTATCTCTGCATAAACTCTGACACCAGAGAGTCAGGCCTCACTAAGACGAGCTGTCAGAGAGTCAACAACTCTACTGGGGCAGGGGTTTAGTGGATTAAAAGGTTGCTGGTTCTGCTAATGAGAACAATCCTTCAGAATGACTTTCCGGTGTCTGATATAATGGGTCTGATATAATGGGCTTTACTTCCTCAAAAAGTTATATTTCCTTTATTTTCCCCACAAATAGAGACAAGCAATTTTAACAAAAGGATAGAGGCTTAAATCCACTGTAGAAGTGATTATACATCACCAACTTTAGTGCATTTACACCAACTTTAACCCAACTGTAATTCATTTACCTGGTCTTGGTCTTTTGCAAAAGACAAAACAAAAATCCTACAACCGCTGAAATCTGATGCCACTCCATTTAACCAAACTGTAATTCATTTGCCTAGATTCTTATGTCTTCATGTCATGAGGTAGATCTCAGGCGGCTGGTGAGAGAAAAAGTAGATCTTGCTCTCAAAAAGTTTGGGCACCCCTGGCCTAGAACGTCTCTGGTGTGGACCATAAAAGCGATCTCTGACATGCCAAGACTGGGTTCAGTTGACACGAACTCTGTCTCTGGCCGAGTCAGCTGGCGCAGGGCATTCTGGGTAAATACAACCAAAATAAACACGAGAGTCTAGTGCTAGCGGGAGAACGGTTCGTGTGGTCTTTCATAAAAGACAAAAGAGAAATCCTACAACCGCTAAAACCTGATGCCACTCAGATATGATGTGTGTGTGAGTGAGTTCCTCAGTCAACACTAACCTAAGGAACCAGTCAGTGCGTTTATGGTGGACTTCTGCCCTGCACATGCATTTACATGTGCAAATCTATGAGAGCGCTAGTTAAACTTTGAATTCAGAGACTCATTTAGGAGTTTAGCAGTGGACGTTTATGACCTGAGTTTATTTATTTTATTGCTTGTTTCTTGAAATAATGTGTGTATGTAATACCTTGCTAAGCTTCTGACTTGAAACCCAGACACACACACACACCTTGAAGAAATCAGAACTGACCTTTGCCACATTTTTCTTTTCTCCAACAGCTCTTACCCTTTTACTGCTAATATTCCTCCTATCAATATCTTTTATGACTCTGCTTCTAAGCTAATGCGTCCCCCAAGTGTCTTTGACTTGTTTCGGGAATGCAACTCTTCAAAAATAATAGCACAGTTCATAGGGATTTAGGGCTCAGCTGCCTCCCTCTCCATTACTCATTCCGCGTTTAGTGCGACAGGATGATGCTTCCGCCAGAAAACTGCCCTGACACCGTCAGGACTTGTGGCCGCCCGGCTCTGTGCCGTCGGCTGTGTCCTGTGTCAGAGTGCGAAAACGGCTCCATGAGTCACGGATGGCGTCACGAAGGTGCTGCAGTGGCCATCAGCATGTGGGGTTATGTGTGTGGTGTCGGTGGCTAATGGGTCGTTTTATGGGCTAAGCTGAAGCGATGACATCACAGGCCTCGCAAACACAGCGAGAGGTCAGAGTCGTCATTCTGAGGAACGGACAGTTGCTGCAGATTTCGAAGCCCTCCGTCTTCCAGCTTTAACTCTAACTTTCTTCTGCTTTACTTTTGCATGTATCTGATGTTACTCAGAGTTATGTTGTCAATATTTCTATGTTGTCAAACTGCACATTTTTTTTTAGATGTTCAGTCATTTTAGTCATAAATAAAGAGAAGAAATATCTTATTTTAAAGTCATAATTAGACTAAAATCCACTTGGAAGATGAAAGTTGGCAAATATTCAGACACCCACAGCCTGATGAAAATGTTGCAGACCTACTCTGGCTGCATCTGTTCACAAGTAATTATGTTCTCATTATGTTCGTCATCCTCATGAGGCCTGTGCAGGACAACACAGGGCCACTGCTGCTGCTGCTGCTGCTGCTGTTTTGTCTGGCGGACCCTCACCTGCATGCTCAACCGGTCTCGCTCTGTTTCTGCTTTCCCACCCAGAGAGGTGAGGCATCATGGGGAAACACAACAGCAAGCTGGCCCCGGAGGTCCTGGACGACCTGACCAAGAGCACGGAGTTCAACGAGGCAGAGCTCAAGCAGTGGTACAAAGGGTTCCTCAAAGACTGCCCCTCAGGCATTCTCAACCTGGAGGAGTTCCAGCAGCTCTACGTTAAGGTGAGAGCCGGGAGAAAACATGAGACAAAGGAGAAGAAGATGTGTTAATTGATTCTGCCTTAATAAGGACTGCTGGGTTTCACTGGAACTCTAACCGATAGCACTCTTAGTGCTAATCACTTTTGTTCTCTTAGTTGATTATAATAGATTTATGACTACTGACATTGTATTCATTGTATACCTCTTCTGTTGCTGGAATTAAACAATTTGCAGATCTGTTTTTCATATAACTTAAGTGAATCAGCTAGCTACTAAGCTAGCTAGCCACCAGGACTATTATTACTCTACACTAGAAACTGGAAACTGCCTGTATTTGGGATCTAATTTGGGGAAAAGTTCCAAGACACCATTAATGTGCTGTAGTTGACATGACAGGTCACTATGTGGCACTGTGATCTTAGCTTGTCATCAAAACGTGGATATACTTTTGACCCTTGGCTTCCACCTCATTAGCTTTCAGCTCATTTAGAAAACAGTAACCCATCTAGGTCGCTGAAAAACCAAGTCATGTAAGTCAGGGTATCTGCAGGTTTCAGCAAGTCAAACTGAAGACTTTTCAAGACCTTTTTTCATGGCACATTGACTTTAATTTAAGGCCATATATATATATATATCCTCTGTTTCCAGCTTCACTCCTGGATCGATGAAGTTCTTTTGTAACCGAAGTTTTGTATCCAGATCATCAGTAACCTCACCTAAGTTGAGAAATACAACTAGTGCCTTAGATACTAGGCACTAGTTGTGTATATATATATATATATATATATATATATATATATATATGGGGATGGTTGGGGGATTCTAGTGTGTTATAGTTAATCATAGCAAAAACAATGACAATGTGGCTTAAGCGTTTTTTGCCGGAGATATTTCTGCCAATAACTTCATGTTCTCTTTCTATGTGTCACACACTTGAACTTATTTTTCTGATGTTGAATCAATATATTCCTGCATATAAAGGGTTGTTTTCTGTGTGATAGAATTTGCCATCTAGTAAAGATTTACAGACATCTATGACCAAGACATGTCCGGGCCAAAGACAGCATCAAGGTTCTTCGCAGTGCAATTGTCATAGTTTGTCGTTCTGCTTTTCCCCGTGCTTCCGCTCTCCAGTTTTTCCCGTATGGCGACGCATCAAAATTCGCACAGCACGCCTTCCGCACGTTTGACAAGAACGGCGATGGGACCATCGACTTCAGGGAGTTCATCTGCGCTCTGTCCATCACCTCCAGGGGGAGCTTTGAGCAGAAACTCAACTGGGCCTTCAACATGTACGATCTGGACGGAGACGGAAAGATCACACGCATGGAGATGCTGGAGATCATCGAGGTGTGTGATTGTATGTGGGCGACCTAAAGACCTAAAAAGAAAGCTTAGGGTTGCTTCTAAAAAAAAAGCTTCTTCCCTTTTACCCTGTGCTGCAGGCCATCTACAAGATGGTCGGCACGGTGATCATGATGCGCATGAACGAGGACGGGCTGACGCCTCAGCAGCGCGTCGACAAGATCTTCTCCAAGATGGATAAGGACCACAACGACGAGATCACCCTGGAGGAGTTCAAAGAGGCGGCCAAGTCCGACCCTTCCATCGTCTTACTGCTGCAGTGTGACATGCAGAAGTAGAAGGGGAGGGGAAGGGCAAGAAAAGAAGGAAGGGAAGGGAAGAGAGGGTGAACTGAAGCTAGGGAAGTTAGGAGGTTGAGAAAAGACAGGGAGGGATGCGGTCCTACAGGAGGAGGAGGAAGAGGCATTGACGATTGATTGACACCATTCCGTTTATTCCCCACTCTGCTTTACTCTAGATGGGAGGCTTGACAAATTCAGTCAGATGGTCTGTGAAAAGTGGAATTCCCTCCTGCTGCATTTGGTGCATAGCAGAGCAGCATGGTGTTACTCGTGCTTTCACACTGTATTGGACGTGAGATCACAAGGCTGCGGGGTAACAGCAGTGTTGAGATCAGCTATCTGACGGAGAGTGCTATTTTATATTCATGGAATACCAGACATTTCATATTATTATTGCCTTCAGTCCTGGAGACTGGAGGTACAGTAGACACACTGTTTTGGTCAGACCATGGCTGCACTGCTTTAGATTCTTCCCTAGAAAAAGTTCCCAGCTGCTTCCAGGGAGCGTTTTTGTGCCAGATTATGGCTGAGTGTCCACCAGCTAAACACTAGGCTGGCAGCTGATGAAACGTGTCGCCCGGCTGCCTCCAGCGGCGTGGCCAGGCATACTGATGTGCTCCGCAGTCACTTCTTAGCTGCCCCCCACAGCTTTGATAACAAAAATCAATATTTTGTCAAAGGACTTTGTAATCTGGTTAATGCTTAGACTTGTTCCGCTTGTGACGCAACCCGTGCTTTTGTTCTTCAATCTCTCTGATGTATGTCGAATCCTGCAAACCCCGCAGTCTTTCATCAGTAAAACCACTTGTTTGAGCAACAAGAGGAGGCACTTGACCATCTCGGCGCGGGGATAATCACAGCAGTAATTATAGATCTTATGACAGAATGGTATTTCTGAGAAAGGCCAAACCTGCTACGATGATTCACCGTTGTTTCACATTAAATAGCCGTCTCTCCTCTTCCTCTGCCTGCGTCCTGCTGCTGCCCCGTTTTTTTTCTTTCTTCCTCCCTAAATGTCAGAGAGGAAGCGCTTTGATAATGGGTAAAGGGAGAGGAACTTTGCTCAGATCTACAATCGATGAGAAACGGAGCAAAGGGTTGAAGAGGTAGCTCAGGCGTTGTGTGTCACCTGTGGTAATCTAGATGAAAGAAAAAAACTGGATGGTGTATCTACATATTTGCATTAAACACCCAAAAATACACAGAAACAACTAGTGACCGTTTAGCCAAGATCCACATCAACCTAGAATAGGCAATCTCAGAGTTATATGGTTATACCAGTCTGAGACTACTTTAAAGTTAGCCATCCTCTGCAGGATTATAGTTTTAGCAATGGCATCAGAGGAAGTAAACAAAGTCGTTCAGTCAGTGTTTGCCACGCTTCCACATATTGAACAATTAAAGTCACAGCAAGAGGGATGTTTAAGACATTTTATTTCTGGCAACAATGTCTTGGTCCTACTCCTCATGGGGTTGTTTACAGAGCATACAACTTCCAGTTTGCCTCATCGAACTGGTGCATTACGTATGTCACGTCCAAACATTAGCGTCTGGGTAAAATCAGATTCAATCATTTAAAACATCAACTGAATCCATACCTGCAGAAATGAATCGTTTGTCAATAGCCGAGGGTCCAGACCCCTCCAAGTGTCTAAATGTCACTCACCAATGACATTCTGGATGCTGCAGCATCTGGACTGCGACTGATAGGTTGTCCCAGAAAGACACACTTTTGCTCCTAAAGATATATTTGACTCGTCTCATACAGCTTCAGTTCTCTTGTTCTAATTGGAAGCGTTCCAATAAGGAGCAGTGCCAGTCTCCCCTAAATAACACAACCAGGCGAGAAGGCATAACATTCTTTAAAGTTCTTGCTCTACCAACATCATAATAAAACAAAAGCATAAACTTAGCTTGTCCACACAGTTGGAGGCGCAATCACACACATAGCACCAATAAAAGACAAGGGGAAGTTGAGTTTCATCATACTCCCATACCAGTTATTTTAAAATGCCACAAAGAGTAAAGCAAGTTGACTCGTCCTCATTAGTTTGTCTTGAAGACTGGGAATTATGTTAGCGAGAATGTCCCAGAGATATTGTAGTAAACATTGCGTTTGTGTCCAAAGTAAAGACGATGATCTTCTCCTCCACTGCAGACGCTCCCTCCCTGGTTGTTCAGAAAGAGCCTCTACATGTACATTATTATAATACGAGTGTAATCGTATTTATGAATATAAACAAATATAAGATGTAAATGTACGGATAGTGTAGACCTGATTTCATTTTACAACACTGCTATTGAGAGAGAAAGAGTGCATCTGTGTGTGTCTGAGTAATACTGAACTGACATCAGAGCTCTGCGTGTGTGTGTGTGTATGTGTGTGTGTGTATTTAGGGGGTTACTGTTTGAGTGTTCAGTGTTTTGTATTTGTATCATTCGCGTAACAAGAGATGCCTCAGTCTAGTTTCACTTTGTAACAATGTGAATGTGACCTCCACTCTGAAGCACTGAGTATTATTACCCTAACATGTTTGCTTTTGTGATCTGCTGGTATACATGATGTACAATCTGCCCCATGAAACAGCCTACTGTCGCAATGCTACAAGTGCTAAGCCTATACGATGGTTAGCTTGCCCCAAACAGCAGAGCTGACAGTTTGTTATCTAGTTTTGAGGAGATGGAGGTGATAAAGAAGCAATGCTGTGTCACAGTGCCACCTAGTGGTCGGAAGAAAATGGTCACGTCTGGAAGCAGTTCAGATGCTGCATATTCCCTGTTTCAGTACATGATAAACCGCCTTGGAGATCAAAGTGAAAAGCATCCTCCATTACAAGAGATTGTCTTATATAACTAACAGCCATATTTATTCCCCTCAACATTATGGTATGAACAAATAGCATGGTTAATGTTGATCAAATAAAGCCCAATGTGGAAAAAATGTAAAGCTACGTATTTAAAAAAAAAAAAAAAAAAATTAATTGACTTAACATTTTTTATTTTTTTATGAAAAAGGCTGAAAAAAAGAGTCGGACTTATTGGCCAATATTTCAGCATTACCTTCTAATCAAATTAAGAAAAAGCGACTCAGAAATCTGTCAACTAAACTACAACCTCTTTTAATGCTAGGACTGTTTTAAGGCTTTATTGTGGTTTTAGCTGTAACAGGAAGCATCTGTCAACAGCAGCTTCTTACTATCCAAACAGAATAAAATTGTTGGCTTCATGCTTTTAAAAGCGTTTAAGGAGGTTGGACTGAAGCATCTTCAGATGGGTTTTAAATTTACCTTCTTGGTAAGCTAAAAGTTTACTTAAGACACATTTTATTTCCTGGTAGTTAGCTAGGTGTGATTTACACCAGGATGCTGTTAGTTGTTTACACAAAAGTTTTCCCACTTTACAATCATTTATAGATCAGTATGCAGTTTTTTTTGTTTGTTTTTTTTAAACAATACCTCACATTGCTATCAAGTCTTATTCTTCTCTGCTTTGTGTATTTTTTGTGGCAGCACCACATATAGGCCTGGCTATAGAACTACAACATTTAGAATGGGCTAATCTGAGAGGGGCCAAGACCAAAGCTGACTTTTACCTTCTAGATAAAACTCCACTCTCAAAAACATCAAGGATGTTTATGTGAATGCTTTTTACAAACCTTTAAACTATCAACAGGTTTGCTTTAACCGGTATTCACACACAAAAAAAAAAATATGATCATTTGTATAGAAAGTGGAGGTTGGAGGCAGTGCACCACCAATAATCTTCCAGGGTGAAGCATATACTGAGAACAGAAGATATTATTCATTTCCAGTCAGTATAAAAAATAAATAAAATAGCATCAACTACTGTTGTAATATTTAGCATTTTGTTACTTTACTTTTATATCAGAAAGTTATTCTGTCTGAAAATGCTAGCAAGAATTAAACATGGCAAGATAACAGATGGTGCATTTTCTTTCACCTCCATTTTCCATTAAATAATCATTGCTACTGTAATTAAGTGTCAAACATGAAGATAGTTGAAAGGCTCTGTTAATATTAAACACATGAGCATGACAGTAGAATCAGAGTGTCACTTGAAGCATGAAATAATTGCTGCTTTAGCTTTTGTTTGCCGTTTATACCAGTAAATAAACACCTGCCTGTATTATTTGTTTATATAATTTACATTTGCATTAAATATTATAGGAAATTGATCTGGCAGACAAACTAAGATGAACTCCATGACATAGGTGGTGTTATTATTTGCCCGTCCCTCTGCCTTGCTGCCTCCCTTTGTGCCGTTTTGAGTCTCTACATCATTGACACAGACACGGTTAGTCATCCAATTTCACATGTGCCGGTTTGCTGTAAAAAGCTCTGATTGGAACAGATCGGCTCACACAGTAGATCCACAATGTTTCTGTCTTCGCTCTGTTGTGTTGATTAGACTTCATCCACTCTAATTAAGATTCCTGTACACACACCCCCACACAGCTGCAGATCATATGGAGGTTTTTATTTGACGCATGACCCGGTTCAGAATGTTGGTGAGAAAAGTCCATCTCTTATGTGCCAACAATGGGAATGGGATTGACCGACTGTGTGGAGCTCATTGTGAATTGCTGATGTACTTGTTACATGTGATGCGGTTCTAAACAGGCACCTTAACCTCTGTGACATGAATACAAACACAAGTTGTTGTTTTTTTTTTTTTTACTTTTCTTCTTAACAGGGAATCATGTCCGCTCTGTTGTTCAATATAACTATACTCTTCAACTTCTCTCTATGATGTTTATGTAAATCTGTCTGTGTCCTTTTTACTTTTATTTTGAAATCTTATTAGAGTCCTAGAACAACAACAACAAAAACATTGTAATTATTTTTGTTACATAGAATAAAACATAAATGTCAAGAGTGACGTGTGTTTTCCTCTCGTTGAGTGTCGATGCGTCGGAAACCGCTCAGAGGCACGCGCACAAGAACCGACTCAGAGCTAGCATGAGTCACCGCGGCATCGCGTCGCGTGGCGCAGCGCCCCGTGTGGGGAGGGTTTATTCTCCGTCGCGGCTGGCCCGGACGGGTTCGACTCCCGACCTTGGTACCTTTACCGTATGTCTTCTCCAATCCCTCTACCCTCTTTCTAAAAAGCTATTAGCCGGCTTAAAAAAAACACACAAAAAAAACAAGCATGAGTCATCTCAGTGATGATGCCACAGTGCTGCAGTGATGTCACCCCTAAACGCTGTTCCCATGGTAACCGTGATGGAGCCACGAGGCAAGGAGACGAGCCACACAAACCGTGTTTGCTGCACATATTTACGTGGAAGCAGAAGGAGCGGTGAGATGTAATGTGGAAGGTAATCATCCCTCCGGTGATGGTTGACTCTCATTAACTAGACAGAAGCGGAGGAGTAACGAAACAGAGAGTTGACTCACCAGAAGTGCCTTAATAAATTACTTTAGTTTTATTTATGAAGGTGTAAAAATGAGTATACCTCAAGAAATCCAGCACAGGGTTCAATTATTGCAGCTTCCCACCCCGCCATTTTTCCCCTCTCTTTTTCCATTGCACATTCCCTAAGCCCTCCATCACGGATCAATAAAAATCTATTCTGAGCCTCGCCGCATCAGGCTTTTCAGCTCAGTGGAAAACCAAACACCACAAAAGCACACACTGTGGCCACAAGCAGACGGAATCCATGAAGCGCCAGAGCAGCAAAAGGGTGCAATGCGTGCAGTGGCCACAGGGGGGCGCTGCATGCTAAATGCGCCCCCTCATCTCTCTACCTGCCTCCTTGTCCACCACCTGCACAACAACTTGTCTGTGACATTTTTAACACAAAAGCTGAAAAAAGGAGACCATGTAAAGGTCAGGTGTTCAATTCCCTCATGTCAGTTTCATATTCACATAACAAGCTAAGAGAACAGAGAGAGAAAAATATGAGGATGCTGAACACACAGGAAGCGAATGTTACAGTAAAAAAAAAAAAAAAAAATTATATATATATATATATATATATATTTATATATAAATATATATATATTAAACC